AATTTGGAGGTCTGTTTCTTGTCTGTGAAAAGATGAGAATGGTGGTATGATTAATGAAACCGTAGTGAAGACTTCTGTAATGCAGCCAATTACTAGTCATATGTCAGTGGGAGCCCGCGACTAACACAGGTTGTCAGCATCCACTTATAAACGGAACACTTCTTTCTAGCCAGTAATACCAATCTTCTTTAACCAAGCTGCTTTGAATTTCAGTTACAATTTTTATATTTCCCCCTTTGTATCATGGGTTTAAAGAGCCAAAAGGTAAGTGGGTGGGGGAGTAGTAACTAAATAAAGTGACTTTGCCATCTATAAACTAGAAAATTATCCTCCATGGCTGTTCCAGAGTACCCAGACATGCCATTCACCAGCCATGGGGTCCGTTTCCGTGACTGTGACGAGACATTACACCCCTCTCTGCTTGGTTTCATTGACTGTAAAAAGGGACGTTGAATTAGATATTTTCTTTAGTCTCTTCCAGCTTTAACAATGTGTGATTCTGTCTTCAGTTGACTTAGCAATCATTGGTTCATTCATTTACTCACTTTATAAACACTGACTGAGCACCTGGGTGCCCGCCACTGGGAATACCCAGATCACCACGTGGCCCTTCACTCCAGGTGTACGTGTGCGTGTATACACACGTGTGCACGTGTGTGTGATGCTGGGAGGCCAAAGAGACAGTGGTGGAACAGATAACTAGAGGACAGAGGAACTGGTGGAATGAGTGAGTGTTTAGAGGACACTGAACAGGTAAATGAGGAAGGAATTAGGTTTGGGATTGAGAAAGAGTTCTTAAATAAATCAGAAAATCATAAGTGAACCTGTAAATCTCTTGAACTGTTCATCTTGAACGCCAACATCAGTTGCATGACTAAAGGCAGGCTTATTGTGTATTTCTCCTCCACTCTGTGACTGGTTGTACAGACCGCTTCTTACCCTCTGCTATGGCATTGTCCTCCACATTCTAAGTGTCTCTCTCCAACTCATTTTAGTTTACGTTAATTAGCTTATATTACTGTGTTATCAGCACTGCTTGTCTTCTTATGAAATCCTCCCCCCCAAAATGCTAATTTAGGCTGAATTTTATAAAAGTAATATGATGGGGAGTTATTTTTTTAAAAGTCACATTTCCCAACTTCAGCCTTTTTTAAAAAAATTATTTTTATTTATTCATTTGGGTTTGAGGGGGTAATTAGGTTGTTTATTTATTTTTTTATATTTCAATGGAAGTGTTAGGATTGAACCCAGGACCTCATCCATGCTAAGCATGGGCTCTACCGCTGAGGTACACCCTCCTCCCTCATCTTACCTTTTTAATAGAAGCCCTCATATGTGCTCTGAGAAGACATTGATCTAAGTTTTGCAGTGGGCAAATAAAATTTTTAATTTTAAAGAACTTTGCTGAGAATACTGGTAACCACAGGCTAACGCTGAGATTTAGAATCAGGACATGCTGCCTCTGGTGATGAAAACATTTGACTGGAGCTGTGTTTATCTTTCTAACCAAGTTGTCATTGCCGTAAGGGAAGTAATGTTACTACCTGCTCTAAAGTAGTATTGGATTACAAGGCCTAGAGAAAATGTGTACACTTCAAAGAATACTTGTACCAGGTGGTCACAATTTAGACTGCGTGGGCCAGCGAGAGACAGGATGTTGATGCCATCTGTATCTCTTCCTTTCTGTACTATTGGAATTTTGTAACCAAGTTTCTGTAGACCTTGTTGGAATGCTTGTCTAAATTTTAATGAGATCCAAGTT